CTAAAGCACATAAAGATGTGCCATAAGTATTGCACATCTAAGCCATATGTCATTGATCTTACATTAAGATTCGTGTCAATATTTTTTTCTTTTTCTTTTATGCTTGATTCACTCACTTAGATGTGCAATAATTAGAGCATATCTAGATGTGCCCTAGACACACCCATATATATAATCAAGCAAATCATCAGTCCATATAACAAGTTCACGCATGAAAGAAAATAATGAATCTATTGAGGCACCAACACACACATGCAAAAAAAATGCAGAGTGGGGAAGCCAATACAAGGCTCTATGAAGCCGACGAATCAATGGCTAGGAGGCGAAGAAAGTCGGTGTTCTGCCGCAATCAAAGAATCCGCCGTGTCGTCTAGCCGATCTCTGTCTCATAGGCTTAGAAAGCGGGTGTTCGTGCTGCAAGAAGGCATGGGATTTGAACATAGGGTCGTTGGCACGTCGTAAAAAAGACCCGTTCGATGACCATCTTGTTACGCTTTGTACGAAGGGTTCAGGTCATTGTCGCGGGCACTAACAAGAAGAGGCGTCTCCTCCTTCCGGCATGGTTGGCCTGAGTTTACAGGAAGACAACTGGGTTCGATCCTGCCACTCAGACCTAGAGCATCCCAGACAAAACTTCAAAGCCAGACACGATAAGCCGAACCAACAAGAAAGAACCTTGGCGGGGCCAAGTGTTAGGAAATAATGTCGGAAGTGCCCGGCAGCACCGCGGGAGGGCCACACGCCCAAGATACAGTCTCCTTGGCGGAAAAGGTTTGTCGGAACGAAGAAGTTCCAACTCCCATTATAGGCGGTCGAGGTAACAAAAAAAGCATCAGGTTCATGCATATCACAAAAAGATCAAGGGACTCGGCGCGAAGCGAAAACCTACCAAGCCACGGACGGCTCCGGCCAGAAGAGGACCCTTTCTCCATTGCTTATGGAGACGTTGAGCCCATGGAGAAACTCATGTTTTATCGAGTAGAGGGGCTTCCAGATCTAGGAACTCTTCATATGATCGTAAGCGAGAAAAGGGCGAGGTATTTCACTTTAATAAGTTGCAATCATAAGTCCATGACACCCATCTCAGCATAAGGGTCACGTTCATGCGGTGGGATGCGAGAATACCTAGACCCCCTAGGTCATTACGCAAGCAGATTTCAGCCACTTCACCATATGGTATTTTTGGCGCACATTGGTCGTTTGCCAGAAGAATCACGATACATCCCTATCAAAGGAGCTATGCACCCCTTTCGGCAAGTATACATCCCCATAATATACATGGGAGACTACAGTGACAAGATTCGATAAACATGGATTTACTCCCTTTGGAAGTGAATCTCCCACGTCAGGGCTCCATCTTGGACACAAACCACTGCATAAAGCGGGTCAAATTCCCGGATCAGGAGCAACGGACCAGGATCTTATAATCAGACAACATAATCCACATGTATGCCACGAGGAAGGACGACAACCTACAAATAAGGTTGTTCGTAATCCGTTGTTCATCCACGGGTGAATACCACATGATCATAACCTTGCTCTTATCGAAGTTGATCTTAAGGCCTGATCAACATGGTCTCAAAGCAAAGGACAAGGAACTTGAGATTGATGGTATATTGTTTTGACCCCTCCCCCATGATCATGGTATCATCCACATACTGGAGATGAGCACACCACCTCCAGAGAGAATATGTCAAACCACACCCGAGATGCGGCCGACCATCATAGCTTTATTCAGGATGGCCACCAGGGCGCCAACCGAAAGGTTAAAGAGGAGGAAGAAATAGGATCTCCCTACCTCAACCCATGCCAAGACCTACAATTTGGGCTCACCTTCCCACTAAAACATTGATGGCGGTGCTACCACTAATGACTATCTACAAGCTCCAATAACACAAATGATCATCGAACAACCCCCTCCACTCATGGACTTGGTGAAGAAAGGAACAATCTAGGCAATTGTAAGCCTTTTGGAAATCTAGTTTAAAGAACACACCCTTTTGTCACTAAACCGTAACCTCATGACCAATTTCATGAAGTGTCAAAATCCCATTGTGAATATGGATCCCCAGAAGAAAGACGAACTGTAAGGGTGTGTAAGGCATTCAACCACAGGGGGAAAACGCATCACACCCACCTTAGAGAGGATCTGTTGGAGGAGCGGGGGATACTGGTCACCGTGATCGGTCTAAAGTGACAAATATCTGCTGCCCCAACTAGTTTGAGCATCATGGTAACCACACAGAAGTTCTGACGGGACGTGTGCAGTGTCCCAATGTAGAATTCTTGGAACATTGGCATATATCACCGCCTGAGGATGCCCTTCAAACTTCTGGAAGAAGGAGGTCGTGCGGATCTAGCGTAGAACTAGCCTTCATCTCCGCAATAGCTTTGACC